GAGGTCGGAATCATCCCCTCCGCCGTGGATCATGTGGCCAAGTCCCCGCTGCTTCTGCTCCCTCCATTTCCCAATGGCGAGCCTTGTGAAATTACGAGTACGGTGGTGCTTCTTCTTCCCCTCTTTATTCCAAAGGTTATTTTCCAGGTTTGAAATTGGTGGTGATCTGGTAAAATGTGTGTTTGCTTGCAGTTACATTTACAGAGGAGCATGAATTCTATATCCGTAGTACGAAGTATATTACACCCAAAAGCAGGGGTAAAGGAGAGGAGGGTAAAAGACAATGGCGCTAACGAAGATGATTGGGTTGAAGTGAAAGCTGGCGATGATTCTCTTTGGGAAATTCAAATGATTCTGGTAAGATTGCGAATGAAATTCAGCAAGAGATAAATTCCTGTAAAACTGATCACAAAGGAGTAATAGTTGATACTCTTGCAAGGCATGTTGATGCAACACGAGTATCGTTAGCAGAAATCAATCCTGATACGTCTTGCAATAACGTGGAGACTATCCTGGATCAGCTTGTTAATTAACAAGGTAAGCCGGATAGAAACTATTGAGACCTATTAATAGTATTGATGCAAGACTCCAGCTAGTAGAGAAAAGACTTGAACAGCTAGGCAAGAAATCACTTGAATCTGTATTGTTTGTGGAAACAGAAATACCCAATCCAGATTCTCTGGGCGATAAAACTCCTGAAACCAATGAGTTGGATGGACTGACCAAAAACACAGACAATCCACAATTGGCCTCTTCTTCTTCAACAGTTGTCCCTGACTCCTCTAGAATAGACAACAGTTAAGATTATGCTGTTGTACTACCAAACAACGGGCTGGATAATATTTTTACAAAGTTCATAGAACAGGGGAGTGAAAATAACTCAATCTCAGGAAACGAGGTGAATCTGAAAAGAATCCAAAACATTCGCTGTCTATAAATGATGCTTTAGCATCTGCACTTGCTGGGTTATTGTCTTCAACTTGGGTCACGGATGGAAAACACAGACAAGCCTTCGTAGTTACAGCCCCTGAATTTTCCAATGGAGATGACATGGAAATGGAAACGAAACCTCTGACTGGTACCCATCCAGACGAAAGCCAAGTGACCGCAGAGGAGTTTGGAGACCGACAGTCTGTCTTGGACAGCCCAATCTCTTCACGGGAAGAGCTGGAAATTACTCTATTTGCTGAAGACAATTCTCAGGAAATGGGTAATGGAGTTTCTGAAAAGTTAGGTAATAGTTTGGGAGGATATGACGAGGTCGAGACAGTGACTAGCGTCAGGAAGGATGATCAAGATAAAGAGACGGTGACATCAAGCACAAAAACGGATTGTTACATAGAAAGGGAGAACCTGAGTTATGAGCCCGGGAACCCCGATTGCTTGGTTCACGAGCTTGAGAATCCAAATGTAACTACTGGTTGTGGAAGTTCTAGGTTAATCAATGAAGGAGAGCCTGGAGTGGATGATGACTTGAAGAGCGTTCTCGCTTTTCAACCGACTACTTGTTCAGTTGATTTCCAAACTCCTATCCTAGACGTGAAATTTAATCCAGAGAAAAAAAGTCTCAGAGAACAAGTGTTTCTTCGAGGCACTTCTCACCGCAGAATCTAAGACCGTTGTAGATTGCAACAAGGACGCTTTTTATGATAACTTGGTGTCAGTGGAAGATGAAGAACTAAACGACCCACCAATAGATACTGTGGAGATCGTTCACTATGAGCCGAACGAGATGATGCATCTACAGTTGAATGCAGACATATCAACAGCAAGTCTGATATAAGAGTGACGAAAGAAGTTGTAAACTTTATTGATATCAAATCAAATCATTAAACTCTCGTTTCTAATTAGCTACAACCATGTACAAGTAAATATTAGAATTTCAAGAAAGTTTTTTTTTTAACACTTGGTTTTAATGAAATTGATTTTCTTACAGTTTG